ACACCTGGTTTATATTTACTTTTTGAAAAACTAAGCACAAGCTGGGTATAATGGCAGCAGGCTGGAGTCCAGGCCACTGGCAGAAAGATTACCTGAACCCAGAAGTTTGGGGCTAACCTAGGCAATACAAGACCCTGTCTCTTAACAACAACCAAAACCAAAAAACCTACACATAGAAGACTTTCCTTACCAGGGGATTCCACCAACCACAGACTGCAACAGGAAAATAACCAAATATAGCAGAAATTAAAGAGAGAAGAGGGCACTACATGAAAACCAAATATATTTCTTGAAAACAAATTTCTGGAAAAAACATGAAACCAGGGGTTAGAGAGATGGCTCAGTGTTAAGAGCTCTTGTTGCTCTTGCAGGACTTGAGTCTGGTTCCCAGCACCCATGACAGATGGCCCACAACCACCTATAGTGCCAGCTCCAGGGCCTCCAGTGCCCTCTTTAGGCTTCTCCAGACACCTGAACTCATGTGCACATATCCATACCCAGGCATACACACATACACATAGTTACAAATAAAAATGAATTGTTAAAAAATACATAAAACCCTAAAATTCACATAAGAAATAGAGTATTTATACAAGCCAATAACTGTTAAATAAATTACAAAGTCCTCTCCAGGAAAAAAGATCTAGACCTGAATGGTCTAGAATGTTCAAAGAACATTAACAATCCCAATCCTAATTGTTCCTGAAGGAGAGTCACCCAATTCATGTTATGACTCTATTAACCTGACACCAACACACATTAAGAACTGTATCAGAGTTAGCAGAAATAGTCACAATATCATGAAAGAAAGCAACATCTACAGATGTTGGCTTCCCGCCAGATGAGCCAGAATGGGGAAAGGTTTGGGTTTGGGGAATCAACAGAAACAAGGAACTCCAAAGCTAATCAGGTAAGGAAGAGCTCATCTTGAACAACCAGGTACAACTGAAGAAATAGGCCCCAAGTTCAGAGGAAAATCAAAATTTGAGAAATAGATCTTGTCAAGACAGTTGGACAAATGTCTCAGCAGGTAAAGGCTGCCCCTGCCACCAAGCCTGAGGACCTGAAATTGATCCCCAGGGCCCACAGGTAAAAGGGAAGAACTGACTCCTGAAAGCTGTTCTCTGACCGTCATACCTGTGTTACAGCATGCACACTCACACACATAAATAAATTTAATAATTCAATGAACTCAGAGACATTAAAAAGGTAATCTGGCCAGACATGGTGGCACACACCTTTAATCCCAGCACTTGGGAGGCAGAGGCAGACAGACTTCTGTGAGTTTGAGGCCACCCTGGTCTACAGAGCGAGTTCCAGGCAGCTGTAGCTACAGGGAGACACCATCTCAAAAAGACCAAAAAAAAAAAAGTAATCTGAAAAGTGAAACTTGAAGAACACAATAAAGAGAATGAAGAACAGAAGGTAGATAAAGGGCAAAAAAAGAATAAATAAAGCCAGTAAGTTCCACAAATGCCCCCTTTTCCCTAGTCCTTTCTTTTCCTTCACACCAGTGTCAGGTGGCAAGGTAACATTTTTAGGGAGGTCTTCCTAGAGTCTCTCAACAACACCAGCACCAGGTCAGGTCTCCACGTTAAGCTCTTATAATCCCCTGCACTTTAATTATAATCACAATTATACTTAATTATATAGAACTCATCTTTCCACATATGTCTCCCCCCCACTAGACTAAGCGCCACAATGGCAGGGACAATATCACCCCCTTTACTTTACAGTGTGTTGGAACAGTCTTCCCCCCATGAAATATATAGATAAATGAATAATAATGATAGGCATTTCAAGGATGTGAAGGCCAGCTGGGGTTATGAAGTTCCTGTGTAGAGGGCTTCCCTAGCACCCACAAGGCCTTCAGTTAATTCTCTAGCACTGCACTTTAAAAAAAAAATTTTTTTTTAAGCGCCAGGCCACGTCCTTTTAATCCCAGTTCTTGGGAGACAGAGGCAGGTGAATCTCTGTGAGATGGAGGCCAGTCTAGTCTACATACTGAATTCCAAGCAGGTTGGGACTAGGGAAACCCTGTCAAAAAATAGATATATAAAGAAAGAAAAAGGATTGTTTGTTTTTTTTTTCTATTTTTTTAAAAATATTTTTTATTTATTATTTTTATTTTATGTGTATGAGTGCATTGCCTGCATGTATGTGAGTGCACCCGTGTCATGCAATGCATTTCAGAAGAGGGTTTTGGATTCCCCTGGAACTGGAGTTAAGGACGGTTTGTAGCTGCCATGTGGGTGCTGGGAATTGAACCCAGGTTCTCTGAAAGAGCAGTCAGTGTTCTTAACCGCTGAGCCATCTCTCCAGCCCCAGGTTTTTTTGTATTTTAAAAAGGAATGTGAAGGCAACGTTACAGAAAGTTCAGGCGCTACTTCCTGTGCCTGCTTCAAGACGTTTAAATAGGATTAGGCTACAGTTCCTTCGTAAAGGTGAAACCCAGTCAATAAGGAGTTAAGAAGTGGACAGGATGGCCACCAGGGTCCAGGGAGGAGTAGACTGACTACTCCTGGCAGTCTCTACAGGAGGGATTATAAATGACTGTATTTTAATTTTACTTCAATTTTGCAATTTCTCTTTAATGACCATGTATTACTTTTATAAGAAAAAACGTTTTAAAATGTTAATATGATTTGCAAAGAAAATACAACACAGATTGAGGGAATAGCAAAACTTGAGGAAGTTTTGTAAATTGAAGGAACCTTATGTACATTTATACTTTTAAGATCCCAAAGATAACAGAGAGGATAATTCATGCTCCATTAAGGAAAAAAAAAGAAAGATGAAACAAAGTGTTAACTGGGGGGGGGGGGGGGGCTCCTCCAGAAGCAAAGCAGTAATCAGAAAAAAGAATCCGGTTAAAGAGCCACACTAGATGCTTCGCAGTTAAGCGGTGGGGAGAAGCGAACAGTTAAAAACGTTTAAACCGTCTCCACCGAGAATGTAAAAGGGGAAAAATAGAATACAGTATTGGTTCAATTAAAAATGCATTCCAAATTTAAATCTGCCTTTCATAAAATCTAGATTCCTAGAAGTGTCCATATTTAAATTTGAACTTAAAAAACTAAAATAATTTGTTTACCATCTTTCGAGTTCCACAACTCAGAACAATAAGTATTAAATTGCCTTTTACTTAAACTCAAAGTTGAATTTCTCTCACAAGTAAACACAAGTCGTTTACAACTCAAGCAATAGAACATTTCACGTATAACTGGAAAAGGGTTCTAAACGTAAAAGTCTTTGCACAATTTGCTTTTGTGAGAGATTCACACTCCTGACTACTTAGTTCCTGGGTTCAATCCCAGCTCACTTATCTAAGTTATTTAACCTCTGCGTCTCGGTTTCCTCCTCTAAAACAACAAATACAATTATCAGGGTTATCTTAAGGAGCAAATGACGTGACATAGATGCCAAGTTCGTATCACCGCACTCCGAACAGTTTGTTAACCATTTAAAACCAAATTAAAAGCTCCGAGACAACGAAGGGGTACGAGTCCCAAAACGCCAGGCTCTAACGCATAACATATTAATTTTCTTCCCAGGCGCTTTTTTTTCTTTCTTTCTTTTTTTTTTTTCCTGGCCAAGCCTTTTCCCGGGAGTCTAGAAAGAAGGGGGTAAATGGTCCACGCAATCCAGGACAAAGTTTCCCGAAACTCAAGCGCAGAATCACAACAGACATGGCAGCGGAGGCCGCGCAGAACAACAGGTGAACCGAGACGCAGGGACTCGGGACCTACCCGGGCCCTTCCCGCAGCGCAGCAGCAGCGCAGCCGGTAGACCCCGGGCCTGGCGCTCGCAGCTCACTCGCTTCTCTCTCCTTCCTAAGGAAAGCGTTCCCAGGCAGACCCCAAGTTACCCCGCGGCTGCGGAGCGCGAGCACGGCGCCCTTCCCATTTAAGGATTCCAGAAGCGTCCCCGCGGTGCCTGGCGCCCACACCGCCGCCCCATTCCCGGCCGACGAGCGACCCAGGGGTGGGACGGCGAACAAAAGAGGGAGCTGCGGGCGGGCCGCGGGGCCGGGGTCTCCACACGCACCAGGCCCGAGCCCCGGCCAGGCCTCCCAGCCGCGCCAAACTTGGCGGAACCCGCGGCGCGGCCGGCCTCCCCGGACGCACACGCTCGGCCCGCGCGGGCCAACTCACCGGGACCCCGGGGAACTCATCCTCCAGCCCTCGGCGCGGAGCCGGCGGCGCGGACAGGGCCCGGCTCGGCCTCCGCCCTCGGCGTGCAAGCGGCCCGGGCCCGGTCGCCCCTCGCACGGCCGTGCGATCCTCGTCTCGCGCGGCCCCAACGCGCCGGAGCCCGAGCCTTCGTCCCCCGCCCTCGGCCCTCCGCCCTCTTCCCTCCTCCTCCGCGGGGCCGGCAGGCGGATTCCAATCTCGGCAGCCGTCGCCGCCTCAGCCGCCGCCGCCGACACTCGCTCGCGGGGGGGGAGGGGCAGATCGGCGAAGTCGGCGCAGCGCGCGCGCACGGAGAGGGCTCCCGCCACCGCCGCGCGCACCCGACAGGAGCGCGGGCCCCGCCCCGCCCCACCCCGCCCCGGACACGAAGGCAGCCGAGAGTTCGGCGGAAGTGCCCGAAGGGCCCGAGGATCCCGGCGCCCCTCTGCCGGGAAGGAGGGCCGGCCGCCGGCAAGGGGGCGCCAGGTTGCTGAGGGAAGGGGGGGGCCTCTCTTCCGCCGGCTGCTCCCGCCGCCGCGGGGAGGCTCGGATCCAGCCGAGTCGAGCGAGACGATGCGGGTCGCACACGACGACACTCCGCCAGCCGGCCTAGGAGCCCCGAGTCCGTGCGGGTTCCACCGCGCTGACCCTTTATCTGGGTCGGAGCTCGCGTTGCACGTGGGCGCCAGTCCGGGTTTGAGAAACGGGCCAGGTAGCTCCGAAGGCACCCAGTCACCCCAGTGGGGGGCTGAACGCGAGCTTGGAGGTTTAAGTCTTTGCGTCCCTGGAAGGAAAAATGTAGTCCCACTGCATTCATTATGCACCCACCCGCCGCTCCCGGGTTCTCCTTTGGGCGCAGGGCCAGTGGGCCGATCGCAGAGAGGGAGGTGGAGGTGCGCGCTCGCGGGGAGCCGGGCCAAGCGTCTGCGCTGCGGCCCCAGGTCCCGGATGCTCCGGTTGCTGGGCTCTGCGAGCCCGTGAATTCCAGAAGCATAAGATAAGGAGCGGCGGGAGCCCAGCTGAACTGAAGTCAGCAAACTATAAATATTACTCTCCATCTACCTTTGGCTTAGTCGAGTGACCTCGTCTACCCTCAGGAGTCCCGTTCCCTCCATTTAGAAAACTGTAAATAGTTGTCACTACCTCTTGGCTTCCTTTTCCTCGAATCCGTCATGCAAAATGCTGTTTAAAGTATTCAGTGACCTCTGTGTAAAGAAAGAAGAGATAATCCCCCTTTTAACCAAATGTGATCTTAATAACTTCTTTGGTGAGTATTTCAACAAATGTATCATGTTCAGTTAATTCACTTCTCAGTCTCTTTAAAAATCACTTAAAATCGGCGAAATCAAAGAGGGAAGGAAAAGACTGTGCCAGGCACTGATACACAGTCCAGCCTAAAGAGATGCTTAGTTTCCAAGGTATTCCCTTATAGTCTACTGTAAATACTTAAATTCCATTATGTTCTACTTCAAACGCTAACGTAATACGTTTTGCACCCTTTTTTTTGCCTTTGCACTGCCTTATCTTCCTTTACCTTTAGAACCTTCAATATCCTTTATACTTCCCAGTTGCTTTTCTGTTCTGCTCTCATCTTTTTTCTGAGCTCTTTGGCTGACTTGAGTTTGACAGCCATTATAGAATCTTGCTATGGTGAAGTTTCCTTCCATCAACTTAAATGTTTCACTTTTCTTTCCTGATATTCCTACATACTACCCTTCTTGAATCTCAAGAGGTGGAGATTGTTCCAGGAGATTCAGTCTCATTGGCCAAAGATCTTATGCCTACCCATGTGTGGTGACACAGAAAATCATTGGGAGATGATTATTGTGATCTCTGCTGCCTAATTTGATTTTGGGACCTAGAAATCAGTCTATAAATAGGCAGGAATCGCATGTTGATACTTTTGTATAGGTTTCTGAAATGTACAGATTGATGCTGCATGACTTGGGTAATACACTACTGAATTGGGAGCAAAATTGAATCTACAAAAAGATCCTTTTCAAATATTTGGGAATATAACTTGGTATTCTTAATGCCCTCCTTAGGCAAACCTGCCTAGTGCCCAGGCTTAATTCCTTAGCACATCACAACCCACAGCCACCTTCAGACAAGTGAGCTGAGCCAGGCCCTGGTATGCCTTCTGGTTCCTGGCATGTGTAAACATGCCAGCCTGTTTCTCCGGTTTGCCTGCCCACTAAATGAACAGAGAGCCAAGAAGCCTAAGGAGACATCTGGACACGTATGGTCTGGCCCCCAAAGTCAAAGGCAACAATTCAAGGTCCAATTTAACATTCTGTAATGTGGTAGGATTCCTTTAAGTAGGTTAATAGAAGAGACTAGAAAAGAGCCTTTTCCTCTGGGCAGTTAGTTTTCTCACAGGTCCTAGGAGTGGTAGTTTTTGCCTGACCAAATCAGGAAACACTCCCTTGAAATGGAAATGACCTTTCCCACAGACATCTTGACCCCAGGACACTTCTAATCACCTATCTTATATTAGCACCCCAATTTTGTTTTCTTTATGCTACTTCTCATTATGTGAAATTACTTTATTTCATCAATGATCTGAGCCCCTCTGCTCTATAGAATGTAATCACCGGGAGAGGAAAGATTTATCAGCCTTTTACAGCTTTCCTCAGAGCTTAATGCCTGGCATGCAGGACTCAGTATTTGCTAAATACTCAATGCCTGGTATTTGTTAAATGAGTGAGATAGATAAGCATAGATTTCCTCTCAGCATTTCTGAACCTTGTCACTAAGACCCTTTTAGTATTAGAAGGTGCTGAGGCTATGAGAAAAAGATGAGGATTAGCCAGGGAAACTAGATTACGTCATCCTTTAGTGAAATAGGGACTTCTGCCTTCAGGGATCCAAGTTCAATAGATTAATCCAAGTTAATCTGTCCAAAGTCATTTTCCTGTTGTAAAGATTTTACGAGGCAAAAGGCAGTACTCAGTCATTGTGGGTACAGAGATAAGAGCACAGTAAAGACTAGTGGAGGGATGCCCTTGGTGACACAGGTTTGTTTCAAACCCAATATTAAATGGATAAAAGTGTTGTGTAGAGGGAACATACTCATTTTTTTACCATAACATTTTGTTAATAATACTCCATCAAGACACAACAGAAATTATGCTTACAGAAGCATATGTTCATACGTATGTCTATATATGGATTGTTCAGTGCACAAAACAGAAAACATTTAATACTTGTTCGTAGTCATACAGTATTTCGTTCCTCTGTTTTTTTACTTATAAACAATTTTCTACTCCCCCTTTCTCCATTTTAATTTTGCTTTGTTTCAAAGCACTTATTTCCTGGGACTGAAGGTCATTTGCTGGGGACATTGCTGTAGAGTAGCATTGCTTCATCCTACCTGGTCCTTGGTCTCTGTAGTACTCCTCACCTTAGAATCCAGTCCTTTCCTAAGCTGTAAGGCTGAAAGGAGTCCTGAGCTTCTGTCTTAAGCCCAAGGCTATTTACTTGAAGAGCCCTGACCTTGATCCCTTTCTAAGAACTGACCCCATGTCCTTTGGTGTTTGTTTCTTTGTTTATTTACTGGAGAGGGGGACGCAGTGTGCAAGTGGAGGTCAGTTTTTCTTCTGCAATGTATATCTTACAGATTGAACTCAGGTCATCAAGCTTGGCAGCAGGTGCTTTTACCCAGTGAGCTATCTCTCCAGCCTTCTTTATTTTTGAGACGATTTCGTGTATCCCAGGCTATCCTGGAACTCACTATAGTCCAGGATAACCTTGAACTTCTGATCATCTTGCTTCTACCCCCGAGTGCTGGAATCATAGGCACCTGCCACATCACGGGGTTTGTGCAGTGCTAGGCACCTATCCCAGGGCTGCATGCATACCAGATAAGCATTCCACCAACTAGCTGTAACCTCAACCCTGTCCCTTTGCATTGAAACTCTAGCCTGTTTTACCTGCCTAGAACTCGGTTTTCTCTGCCTATTTTCAGGACTCAGCCCCAGTCCTATCACACAGACTGGCCACGCTATGTGCCTTTAGCTCTCTGCCTCTTCATTCTCTGTACCTGTGTATTCTGTGTATCCAAATCCAACCTGGAGTTGGATATCCTGATGCCTGCTACTCTCCTAGACTACCATCTGTTGTTTGCTCACTACCCTGGTTATCAGGTACTGCCTAGAGAGCTGCAATTTCCCCTATCCCAGCTCCCACTCAGGCCAGGGCAAACCTTATTCTTCCCCATCCTACTAAAGCTCACTGCCTACACTGAGAACAGTGACTTAATAACCTTTTACACTGGGATCATGTTTCAACCAGAAAAATCTGTGGCATACACAGAAAGCATAAAATTTTATATAGAGTGTATTACTAAGTATACTATAAGTTTTTTATCTGGTAAAAAATAATCCTGGCTGAGTGTAAGTCAGTGGTAGAGAACATGCTTAGCATGTGCAAGGACTTGGTTCAATCACAGCAGAGGGGTGGAGAGAGAAAAGAAAGAACCCAAGAGTAATATGTCTTTGAAAAGACCCCCTACTATCTACTCTTTAAAAATTATATATGTGGGGACTAGAAAGATGACTCAATGGTTAAGAACAGGTATTGCTCTTGAAAAAGGACACAGTTGGATTTCTAGCACCTACAGGTGACTGAAAACTGCCTGTTAGTCTAGCTCAAGGGAACTCCTATGCCTCTGGTCTCCACAGGCACCTGCACTCACTATACATACACACACACACATACACACACACACACACACACACACCTAATTAAAGATAACTTTTAAAAAATTATGTGTTTTGTAATAATATTGACAATTTGGTGGGATTTAGAATCACCATGGAAGTCCAGCATAGCAGTGCATGTCTTTCATTCCAGCACTGAGGAAGCAGAGGTAGGCAGGATCTCTGTGAGTTCTAGGCCAGGCAACCAGTGCTACATAGTGAAACCCTGTCTTTTTTTTTTTTTTTTAAATGTGTATGAGTGTATTGCCTGCCTGCATGCATGTGAGTGCACCCGTGTCATGCAATGCCACGGAGGTCAGAAGAGGGCTTCAGATTCCCCTGGAACTGGAGTAGCTGCCATGTGGGTGCTAGGAATCGAACCCAGGTCTTCTGCAAGAACAGTCGGTGCTCTTAACCGCTGAGCCCCAAAACCCTGTCTTTTAAAAAAAATAAAATCATCAAACTTTTGGGTTGAGGTGGAAATACCCACCCTTAATATAGGCCCCATTATTCCATAGGCTAGGGTCCTGGACTGAATAAAAAAGCAGAAAGTGAGCTGAGACCAGCATGTATTACTCTCTGCTTTCTGACTGTGGACCCAAAGTGACCAGCTGCCTCAAGCTTCTGTCACTATAATGAACTGCACCCTGGGCCTGTGAACCAAAATAAACCCATTGTCCTAAAATTGCCTTTATCGGGGATTTGTGACAACAATGAGAAAAGTAACTAGTACATGTGTATATACACACGTGTAGAAATCAAAACCCATATCAAATTCTGCTTACTAAATGCTGATTTTCCTCAAGGACTCCCTTGGAACTGCTGGTGGAGCATTCCTAGCTTCTAAAACAGGACGATTACCTGGTTAGTGGCTAGTTAGAGGAAAGCAAGGTGCAAGGTAAAGATTCAAGCTGAAATAACCAGGAAGATAATGGTCTTGAGCAGGAGGGAGAGCTCTGCACAGTCATACTGAATGTCCATGCTCTATCAGGCTGTGTTCCTAGGTATGGTATCTGCAGTGTAACCAGGCATACTAGTCTGTCTACCAAATCTGTTGCTCGTTCCTGTCCCCATGCAGGACTCCAGGTCACAAGACAAGAACTATCTAATTCACAGGAACTGTTGCACTATTATGCTCACTCTACTCCAGAAACATAATCATGTATTTAACCAGTAACCAATACTTGTCAGCATTTCTTTTTTAAATTTAGAATTTTTTTTTTTAACTTTACTATGTACTTCTGAGCCCATCTTCCTCACTGTATGCCTAGCTTGTACTAGCTCTCCTTCTAACTGGTCATTCTCTTGGCTAATCTTACCCAGTTTTTCTAGGCTTCTGCTACCAAAACACAACATTCCCATCAAGTCTAGAAACCACTGTTAGGTGACAACCATGTGTTAGACTGGCATCCATGCTTCCTAAGAAACCCACATTCATTCTCCTTTTAATGCCATCCTCCTAGG